GGACTCTCCTTCCTTGGAGGTTTCCAAGCCGAGTTTGGATGGCCATCTGTCATGGATGCTTTAGTTGAGATTCCTGCTTTGCAGGGGGTTGGACTAGATGACCCTTGGGGTTCCTTCTAACTCTACGATTCTATGAAAGTGTAGGGCATATTATCCTCCCCATCGGACATTAATAATAATAATAATTTTTTATTCATACCCCACCCTTCCTGGTTCAAAAACCGGGCTCAGGGCAGCTAACAACAAATTTAAAACACTTTAAAACACTTAATTATAAAATACAGTATAAAAACATGAATAACAATAAAAATCAAAAATCAAAAATTAGATTATCCCCAGGGCTAGCTGGCTGAATTGGTCCTACTTGGGCCAGCGAGGAGCCCAGGGGAGAATTAGCTGTGGGATCCCAGAGCGGGGAATCTTCATAAAAGGGGGAGAAGGAGGGAAGGAAGGGGAATAAAAGATCAGGCGGAATTCAGATTAAAGGCCAGGCGGAATAGCTCTGTCTTACAGGCCTGACGGAAGGAGGTTAAATCCTGAAGGGCCCTGGTGGTTTCTATACCACCAGGTCGGAGCCATCACTGAGAAGGCCCTGGCCCTGGTGGAGGATAGTCTGACTTCCTTAGGGCCCGGGACCTCTAAACTATAGTTATTCATGGACCTTAAGGTCCTCTGCGGGGCAGACCAGGAGAGGTGGTCCCGTAGGACAAATGCTAAAATATAATGCAATACAATAAAGAAGAATAAAATGCAGGTGGTGGAAACAAGGTTGTTTGGGCCCTGGACTGTGCAAACCAGCCTTTTTCTGGTGTACAAGCCCCTCTGCTGGTTGGGGCTGACAGGTAGCTCAAACAACTGGAGGGCACCACGTTGGGGAAGGCTGGTTTATACAGTCACCCCAAACATTTGCTTACGTGGGATTACAAAACTCAGCAAGGTGGTGCAGTGGTTAGAGTACTGGACTAGGACCTGGAGGAGACCAGGGTTCAAATCCTCACTCGGCCATGAAGCTCACTGGGGGACGTTGGGCCAGTCAGAGCCTCTCGGCCTTACCGAGAATGGTGCATGCTCTAGTTATCTCCCGCTTGGACTACTGCAATGTGCTCTATGTGGGGCTACCTTTGAAGGTGACCCGGAAACTACAACTAATCCAGAACGCGGCAGCTAGACTGGGGACTGGGAGCGGTCGCCAAGACCACATAACACCAGTTCTGAGAGATCTGCATTGGCTCCCAGCACGTTTCCGAGCAAAATTCAAAGTCTTGGTGCTGACCTTTAAAGCCCTAAACAGCCTCAGTCCTGTATACCTGAAGGAGCGTCTCCACCCCTATCATTCTGCCCAGATACTGAGGTCCAGCGCCGAGGGCCTTCTGGCGGTTCCCCCACTGCGAGAAGTGAGGTTACAGGGAACCAGACAGAGGGCCTTCTTGGTAGTGGCGCCCGCCCTGTGGAACGTCCTCCCTTCAGATGTGAAGGAAATAAGCAGCTATCCTATCTTTAAAAGACATCTGAAGGCAGCCCTGTTCAGGGAAGTTTTTAATATTTAACGCTGCACTGTTTTTAACACTTGATTGGAAGCCGCCCAGAGTGGCTGGGGAGACTCAGCCAGATGGGTGGGGTATAAATAATAATAATAATAATAATAATAATAATACCTCGCAGGGTTGTTGTAAGGATAAAAACAGAGGGGAGGAAAACCATGTATGCCCTCTTGAGCTCCTCAGAGGAAAGGCAGCATACAGATATAGCTCTACTCTTTTCGGCGCCTGCTAAAACCATTCTTGCTTAAGTAAGTCTACCCAGATGCTTAGAGAGTTGATGAGAGTTTTAATGTTTTTTAAATCTTTTTTCGTAAACCGCTTTGAGGCTGTTTTTGTTTTTGCAGTCATGTGGTGCACAAATTTTATGAAATAAAAATGAATAAATAGAATTAAGAAGGAGGGTTGACTCTTAAATGGCTCACCAGTCTCTCTCTCTCTCTCCTTCCTTGATGCCGATTTACAACAGAAGCATGTCGACAGCAAACATATAAACTGGGCCCAAGTCTGATTAAATGCTTTTAAGAGAAGAACATTTTCAGTGCTCTGTGCTAAGGAATGCAAAAAAGGGAGGGGGGAAGGATCTCAAACCATACTGCATTTTTAATTATTTTTTTTAAGAACAAAATTGAGCTGCGCCCGTCATTTTAAAGGAACACACAGCTAGGATGTGCCATGGATGTTTTTTGGAAGGAGCCCACAATGGAACCACAGAGTGGGGAATTAGAAAGGACTTCCTTCCTTTTATCATCTCTGCGTGCAGATGTTACCATTTTCTGCTCTGGCAGCTGAAACCAAAACAGAGACGTCTCAACCAGCCCCATCCAAAACAACTCGTTGGAGAAGAAAGCCCACGGCAATCGTAGATGCCTTTTCTGGCAGCCTTGGCCACAAAGCCTAAGGGGGGGGGATTGTGAAGCATTCCTCCCCTCCCAAAAGAGGGTGCTATTTCTACAGCCAGTCCAGGCACTGAGAGGTGGAATTATCCAAGGTCCATATAGTAAAAGCTATGGTTTTCCCAGTAGTGATGTATGGAAGTGAGAGCTGGACCATAAAGAAGGCTGATCGCCGAAGAATTGATGCTTTTGAATTCTGGTGCTGGAGAAGACTCTTGAGAGTCCCATGGACTGCAAGAAGATCAAACCTATCCATTCTGAAGGAAATCAGCCCTGTGTGCTCACTGGAAGGACAGATCTTGAAGCTGAGGCTCCAAGACTTTGGCCACCACATGAGAAGAGAAGACTCCTTGGAAAAGACCCTGATGTTGGGAAAGATGGAGGGCACAAGGAGAAGGGGACGGCAGAGGATGAGATGGTGGGACAGTGTTCTCGAAGCTACTAACATGAGTTTGACTAAACTGCGGGAGGCAGTGGAAGACAGAAGTGCCTGGCGTGCTCTGGTCCAGGGGGTCACGAAGAGTCGGACACAACTAAATAACAACAAATTTAATGAGTGCGATTCGCCACTGCCACAAACCTGGGGACACACCAATGGAGTTGGTTGGTGGAGACTGATCTCCATTGTCAGGAAAAATGGGAATCGCCTTGCTCAATCACACCAAAAGGTCGGTCTCATCCATCTGCTGCATCCCATGTACTCTAGGGAGGGACATGGTTCCCAAACTTTTGGCGGCCGCTGCCCAGCATTCGGAATTAGTCGGGCACCAAAATGCAACTGGCAAACGGACTTTTGCGGCTGGATAGAGCTGTCCAGGTGTCTTCCTTGATGCCTAACATCTCCACCTGCCTGGCTGTAGTCAGCTGGTCTGCCGGGCTCCGCGACAGCAAAAGATGTGCATCTTTTGCTGCCCCGCAAAACAACTGATTTGCCTGGCAGCGCAGCAGCAAAAGACATTGTGCTGGTCCCGAGGGTTAACCGTGTGGCGAGGTCCGAGTCCAGTCCGAGGTCAGGGGTGCGGTATAGAGGCTGTCCGTCAAAGCTGAAGCGGGGTCCAAGGCAGGGAGTCGGGTGAGGTCAGGAACTCTGGCAGAAGAGCAGGACAGGGTGCAGGCAGGAACAGGCTACCAACAATGTTGCTCCCGCAACTTGGGACTGGGGCTGGCTGGCTTTTATCTGCCCCGAGGCATAGGGAGGCCCCGGTCCACAGGTGACTCGCCTCTCCTGGCCTGGAGGCGAGCACTCCTCCTGCGGGAACTTAGTTCCCTCCTCCTCTCTGCCCTGAGCCTCTGCAGCTCAGGAGAGGCTGGAGGGTTACTGGACTCAGGAGCCAGAGCAGACTCAGCTGGTGACTCCACCTGAGGATCCAGCACAGGTGAGGACCCTTCAGGCTCAAGCCCCAGCCCCGGCTCAGCTGGTTCTGGAGGCGGGGACTCCTGTGCAGGCTAGGATTCCTCAGGTTCAGCCTCCGAGTCTGAATCCCAGGCCATCACAGACATGTTTTTTTTCTCTCTTTCTTTTGCTGCTGCTGTGCTGCCGGGCGAATCAGGTGTTCTGCATGAAAGCAAAAGACGTGTCTTCTGCTGCCGCACTCCCCTGCAGATTCCAATTCACCCAGCAGCAATGTTGTTGTTGTTGCTGCTGCTGCAGGGCTCCCTGGTCTTGTGGGGGGGGGGGGATAGACAGGGAGAGGTGCCTAGACATTTTGTTTTGGTGCCCACAACCGAGGTCCACATGGTTCCTAGCAGTCCTATCCATAAACTCATCCCTGGTGCCCCCTACTCTATAGGAAGCATTATCCAGACCCATTAAGGAAAGCAACAATGCAATAAAGTTCAGAGCAGTAACAGACAGTTGCACATTAATTCAAAATCCAGTTACTGTACAGTAAGCCCACATCTTACATGGGGGTTGTGCTCGGAGATTGCACCTAAAGCCAAAATATCGTATAGTCAAAACACTTTGGGTTCAATGGCGGGTGGGATGGCCAGTCTTTTCCCCCAGACAGAAACTTTCCACCCCCTATTTAATTCTTTTATGTTTTTCTGCCAAAAGTGTAAAGCTGAAGGCATATAAGTTAAATGTGTGCAAACTACGGGCTTGCCGTGCAACTGTTTAGTTTAGTAAATTCAACAAAACTGATGAACTTGATTCAGTGACGCCAGCTTTTTCGTTTCTGATAGTCATTTACACCTCCAGTTCCCCTCACCGCCACCCCTTGCTTCTTAGTGCCCCCCTAGGTAATCCCCAGGGATGCGGGTGGCGCTGTGGTCTAAACCACAGAGCCTAGGGCTTGCCGATCAGAAGGTCGGCGGTTCGAATCCCCGCGATGGGGTGAGCTCCCGTTGCTCGGTCCCTGCTCCTGCCAACCTAGCAGTTCGAAAGCACATTGAAGTGCAAGTAGATAAATAGGTACCGCTCCAGTGGGAAGGTAAACGGCATTTCCGTGCGCTGCTCTGGTTTCAGTGTTCTGTTGTGCCAGAAGTGGCATAGTCATAGTGGCCACATGACCTGGAAAAACTGTCTGCGGACAAACGCTGGCTCCCTTGGCCTGTAAAGCGAGATGAGCGCCGTAACCCCAGAGTCGTCTGTGACTGGACTTAATGGTCAGGGGTCCTTTAAAGGTAAAGGAACCCCTGACCGTTAGGTCCAGTCGCAGATGACTCTGGGGTTGCGGCGCTCATCTCGCTTTATTGGCCGTGGGAGCTCGTGTACAGCTTCCGGGTCATGTGGCCAGCATGACTAAGCCGCTTTTGGCAAAGCCAGAAACGCCATTTACCTTCCCGCCTCAGTGGTACCTATTTATCTACTTGCACTGGCATGCTTTTGAACTGCTAGGTTGGCAGGAGCAGGGACTGAACAACGGGAGCTCACCCCGTCATGGGTATTCGAACCACCAACCTTCTGATTGGCAAGCCCTAGGCTCTGTGGTTTAGACCACAGCGCCACCTGCGTCCTCAAGGGTCCTTCACTTTTTTAAGTAATCCCACTGTCTTCTGGGGGGGATCCCATCCACTTTGGGAACCACTGCTCTAGGACAAAGAAGCTTATGCCATAATAGCATCTGCTTGGCATGCAGAATGTCCCAGGTCCGGTCCCGAATGGCATATCCAACTAGGTTCTGGAAACATCCCCTGCCTGAAACCAGTGCCAGTTGCTGCCGGTGTGTGTAGACAATATTGAGCTAGGTGGGCCAATATTCTGAGTCCTCATAAGGCAGCTTCCTAGGGTACTAGGAGACTCTGATGAGAGGGATGTTTGAGCATGTGCAGAAACTAGCCTGTGCTGGTCAAGGCACTCACGCGGGCCTGACCCGGCTGCTCTGCCACGCATCTGCCGAGACCCTGGGTGTCTGTTTTAGTTTTGTGTGGGTGGCTGCACCTCTTCTGAATTGGACCCAAGCTTGGCTCACATCCGTGGGGGCTGACCGCCATCTTAATTTGCCCCAAATAATAATAATAATAATAATAATAATAATTTATACCCCGCCCTCCCCAGCCAAGACCAGGCTCAGGGCAGCTAACACTAGGTATGAAAACAATTGATTGAAATACAACTTAAAAAACTAGATTAAAATACATTAAAATGCAGCCTCAATTTCAGTAGAAACTCAAATCAAAACCTTTGGGGATGAAAACGTCAAGTCTTCACCAAGGCCAACTATCCAGACTGGTCCTACGTGAGCCAGAGAAGTCCCCAAATAGGAGTTCCATCACAGAAGGAGAAAGGAAAAAGGAAACAGGGGAAGGGGATCAAGTTGATTCCAAGCCAAAGGCCAGGCAGAACAACTCTGTCTTACAGGCCCTGCGGAAACAAATCAGATCCCGCAGGGCCCTGGTCTCATGAGACAGAGCATTCCACCAGGCCGGGGCCAGTGCTGAAAAGGCCCTGCCTCTGGTTGAGGCTAATCTGACTTCCTTACAGGACCTCTAGAGTGTTGCTATTTATGGACCTTAAGGTCCTCCGCGGGGCATACCAGGAGAGGCGGTCCCGTAGGTACAAGAATCCTAGGCCGGGAAGGGCTTTAAAGGTCAAAACCAGCACTTTAAACCTGACCCTGTACTCCACCGGGAGCCAGTGCAGCTGGAAAAGCACTGGGTGCAATGTTGCTGATAGTTCTAGAGATCTATAGGCTGGGTCAGATGATACATCAATGAAATCTTTGGGTTTGCTGATGGAAATAAGGACTCCCTCAGAAGGTGGTGGAATCCCTTCCTTGGGGGGTTTTAAGCAGAGGTTGGGGAGCCAAATGTCACGGATGCTTTAGCTGAGATTCCTGCACTGCTGGGGGTTGGACTAGATGACCCTTAGGGATCCCTTAAAACCCTACGATTTTATGAAAACCTCCGGAGGATACTAGCTCAGGAAAAGCTGGTCTACTCTGACTGGCAGGAGAGCCTTAGATGTGTGTATGGGAGATCTCTCTCCCTCTCTCCTTCCTTCCTTCCTTCCTTCCTTCCTCAGAAGAGCTCCTTCACTGAGACTTTGTCCTTTAATCACCCTACTGAAAGCTGGCCAGAGGTGGGGAAATATTGTAATTTCCTCCCTCCCTTGGATTGGAAAACCCTCCCAATTCTATGATTCCACCAAAAAAGCAGGAATCCCTTAAAAGGCTTTAAAATATATATCACTGCATGTTAACTACTGGAGCATTGTGAAGGCTAACAACCTGAAACGGTTGTATCTGGAAAATATGAATCAGAGGCAGCATAAAACATGGACTTTTCCGTCCTGCCGTATAAACAGTGGCTGTGTGTGGTGTTTTGAGGCCTTTGAGAGGGGCGGGCAGGGGGGCGGCAGGAAGAGAATTAGCTCTTGGAGCAACAGAAGCAGCAGCAAAACCCAAAAACCTTGGCAAGCAAAGTGAGTTTCCATTATTTAAATAGTGGGGGGTGATTTAAGCGTGGAAAACAGTAAGCGGAGCTAAGATGCAGCTGGAGATATTGTTGCCGCCACGACATTCAACCCCGTCCACCTTTGCCAAGTCGATGCCCTCCAGGGCCTTTGGACTACAATTCCCATCAGCCTCAGCTGCCAATATCCCTGCACTTGTTAAGGCTTATGGGAGTTGTAGTCCAGAAGTCCTGGAGGGCACCAGGTTGGGGGAAAGCTGGATTGGACGGCGCGGTGCCATGGCCACAGGAATTGCATGCATAGGCTGGGGTCACCCGTGCACAGCTGTCGCTCGGTGGCGCACGACTGGCATGTGGCAAATGTGGCTCTCGTAGGCAATTCTATGAATGGGACTCCCGCATTCCACTGTGAGCACAGAACTTTCCCGTGGAGATCCATTCACATGTTCAGCTGCGCATCATGTGGGGATGAGGGGAGGGACTCCATCAGGCAAGGCCTCCTTCCACCTGCCTTGCTCCACCCTCGAGTCTCTGCTTCTCAATGTGTATTGTATTGTTTTATGTACTGTGGCTTGCCGCTGTTTTACTGATTATGGTTTAGATATTATTGTAACTGTTGAGAGGATTTCTGTTTAACTTTTGTATGTTGATATTATTATTTTATACTATTCTAATGATTGTTGAATGTTACTTTTTTGATGGAGGTTGCCTGTTTTATTATCACATTTTTGTATTGCATTGGATTGTTATAAGATGTACTGTATTTTTTGCTCTATGAGACTCACTTTTTCCCTCCTAAAAAGTAAGGGGAAATGTGTGTGCGTCTTATGGAGCGAATGCAGGCTGCGCAGCTATCCCAGAAGCCAGAACAGCAAGAGGGATCGCTGCGATTCCTCTTGCTGTTCTGGCTTCTGGTATTCAGATTTTTTTTTCTTGTTTTCCTCCTCCAAAAACTAGGTGCGTCTTATGGTCTGGTGCATCTTCTAGAGCGAAAAATACAGTACATTTTTTGTTTCTTCAGCTTGTAAACCGCCTTGAGTATTGTAAGATAGAAAGGCGGTATACAAATTAAAAATGATGATGATGATGATCATCCAGAGATGAGCCACATGTTTGTGTCTCCAAACAGCTAAGATTCACCTAAACCTGAAACATGCACCCAGGGCAGGGCAGACTCTTAAGGCATCCCCATGCGCTGGGACCCCAATACCTGTTCAACTCACCTGCCCAACAGCTCACCTGGATGCCAGTGGCTGAGAAGTCACCCGCCATCTTAAAACTTCCCACAGGGCCCCTAAGCACTTGACGGAGCGTTGGAGCACCCTTAATAAAATTTATTTTTTAAAAAAAGACAAACTACACTACCCAGAATTCTTTGAGGGAAAGAATGCGCTTTAAAGGTGGCCCAGAATTGGAAGCAAGAAGAAATACCGACGAAAGAAGAATGGCAGACGAAATTAATGGACTACGCAGAATTGGATAAAATGACAGGAAGGATTTGAAACCTGCGGGACCAGAGATTCACAGAAGATTGGAGGAAATATACGAATTATTTGAAGAGCAACCGTAATCAACAAATTACGCTAGTAGGACTACAAGAAGTTTTGTAAGGATGAGTATATGAAATATTGCAAAGAAGAGAAAGAAGAGAGATATTAGTTACGATATTTATGTAATAGTGAAAGTAAGAAATGTAAATTAAGTGGAAAAGATTGGAAAATTTTCAGATGTGATTGATGGAAGTAAAAAAAAAATGTATAAGATATAAAAGTATGTATAATAATTGTTGAAAATGATATCTTAAAAAACCAATGTGCTTTAAAGGTATAGCAGTCTATTAGAATGCAAACTGCCCTGTGATCCTCAAGTGAAACTTAATAAATAATATTAACAACAATAATAGCATATACAGAGCCACAGAACGCCTCCTGTAACAGAGGGTGTTTGTCAGGGTTACCTATCAGTTGGAGGGCTCTACTTGCATTGAAGTGAACATGGGTAGAAGACCCCCCTACACCCATGCAAGACCTCGCCTGCTCGACACAAGGAAGCTCAGAGACGGACGGGGGGGACCCACACATTTCAGGCCTTGCATGCTGAAGGCAAATGCCCGAACTTCTGGAATACTGTGTACAGTTCTGGTAAAATACTGCAGAGCTGGAAAAGGTTCAGAAAACAGCAGGGGAAACCATAAAGGGGCTGCTAAACCTACCCAGCTCCTTCAACCGTTCCTCATAAGGCTTGGTTTCCAGACTCTTGATCATCTTGGTTGCCCACATGTTCTGGCTGGTCAACATCCTTCTTTAACTGTGCGCCCAGGACTAGACACAGGACTCCAGGTGTGGTCTGACCAAGGCAGAAGAGAGTGGGGTACAAAGCAGGGTACCATGATGTCAGGGTAGGAGAGAGTATGATTTGGAGAGGAGAGTTCTGCTGGGCTCATGGGCTTTCTCCTGATTGAAGCGCAGAATGTTTGAGGGCTGGGACATTCATCGGGAAACCAAAATGCTTGTTTACAAAGCTATTGTACTAACAACCTTACTGTATGCTTGTGAAACATGGACCACTTATAAATGCCATCTCCATCTCCTTGAAAGATATATCAACGGTGTCTCCGAAAAATTTTACACATCACTAGGGAAGACAGGCGAACTAATATCAGTGTACTGGCAGAAGAAAGGTCACCAGTGTTGAAGCTATGATTCTTCAACATCAACTTCGTTGAACTGGTCATGTTGTGCGGATGCCTAATTATCGTCTTCCAAAGCAACTACTCTATTCCGAACTTAAGAATGGAAAGCGTAATGCTGGTGGTCAACAACAGAGGTT